GTCCCCCTGACGCTCCAACCAAGTTGCCGAAATGAGGTCAAACCGACAATTCTATGTTCATGTTGGAATATCTTTCATTTCGTTTGAAGAGGGGAGCGGAAGGGGTTCGCAAGTTAGTCTCACTGAAAGCGGTAGGGGGATTGTCTTGGAGCCGTGAATGTAGATTTGTGCGGATAGGTCATTGGCGCATCTTTCTGCGACCCCGATAAATCGTTGTAGGGCGATGCGCCAAGGACCTACCAAACGAGATGAAGGGTACTCCAACAACAATATATTAAGGGATTCTTCAAAACCCAGTTTTTCTATAATTTTCTTACATTCCCTTGTCATTACTATGGGCATGGAATATATATGTTCGTGGCTCAACAGCTTTGACCTTATCGGTTACGAGTTTCGATTTCCCGTACAAAATGGCCCCACTTGATTTTAACCATACGTTTTATCTTGTCTGCATAAATTGTATTAGTATTTACATTCTCAAACTTTAAATCGACTCTTTTAGATGGTCTTCTTGAAAGTATTGTCGATGATGGCTTTGTTCCGGCGCGCAGTTTTCGCAACCTCCAGCGCCTGGTGTTGGCTGGCAACAAAGAAGCCAGCGAGATGGATGTCGGTCTGCTCCTTGTGGCTGGCCAGCAGACACTAGGCCACGTCGGTCTGCAGATCTGGCACACGCGAAATTCACTCTTCGACGCGCTGGCACGAGCCAACATCCGCTTTCCACGTCTTGAGAGCCTTGTCATGGGTAGGCATGCTCGAATCTGCATGTGACCATAATCAAATTTAGTGCCCCGTGAATACCAGTGTACATGTTTGCGCCTGTTCACCTCGCTTGCCTTAACGTCTTCCTATCACCCCAAAATACCACACGGGCTGAGTCGGAACGCGAAACTCAGGATTGCTGTGGCCAAAATTATGAGGGTAGTCTAGCGCACTTTCCATCTGCTACTTATCGACGCCTCATTTTGGCCAACCGGATTTTGACTGCGGATCCTTTGTGCTTGTAAAAATGTTTTTCTCCCTCATACTGCGGTTATTATCATGGGACTGAGATGTGGCAGCGTCTAGATATAATTATCGGTCTAAAGATCTATGAACATATAGGCTCATTT